TAATAGAACGTTTTTTAAATATAAGTGCCTCGATGGCCTAACGGGGAAGACGATGGCACGGAAAGCCGGAGATTCCAGGTTCGACTCCTGGCCGAGGAGTTTTTTTCGCAATATTTTAAAATTAGTTAGGGGGGTATCCGGGGTTTTNCATATGTGAGATGCAAATCNAGCATCCCGTATGAATTTAAGAATTGAGATTTCAATTCAAAAAAAAAAAAAAAAAACACTTGTAAAAATTTACAAGTAGAATTCGTTACATGTATGTATATATATGTACACGCACAGTTTCCGCACTAACATCCTGCGAATGGCTCGTATGGCCGTATATATTTCTTGTTGACAATTTCAACGAGCCTTAAGTCTTAATTGATTATGAATAGAACGTACTCGATGAAGTGAGTTTTACGATACGTTAAATTATAATACACGACACACGATTGATATAACGTCAGGATGAAAATAAAACAATATATTGGCCATATGTAGACGCGCGACTGCAAAGGCGATTTTTCGCGCTGCGCGAGAATGATGTGCTAAAAGCTCGTATTATTACAATAGAAAGAAATAAGGGAATAACTGTCATGATACGGATTATCCACGGACGAGCGATCGACTCTGTACGCCTAATATAATGCAATCATCGGCGTGTGACGAGTCGCAAACGCACAATAGTGTTCCGGGGCCCGGTGTCCGCGCGCGAAATAACTTCTTCACTGTCACAGTTACCTCTCATTTATGTGTGAGCTCTCTCTTCACCTGCTCTTCGCTTCGTTGCGTCATTAATAAGAACCGATGTTCCGTAAAATTAGGTCACACTACCGAAACCGCCCCTCGAGATATCGGGTGAGAGACCGCTTCCCTCGACGCTCCATTTACCACCGTTGTTGTCCTGTACTCATGGAAGGAAGTGCCTCCTTTCAAATTATAGATATACGTATAAATATTGCTTTACGCGTCTCTTTTTCTTTCTCTCTTTAAAACGTTTTAATTCCTCAATTGTGTTTTCTCTAGAGAACGTATGAAATTTTTCCTCACCAATTCTCACGTGTACGTGAGAATATAAAGTGAAAAAAATCAAATGACACATTTCTCAAACAGAAAAATTGCAAATTGATCGCGAAAAAAAAAATCACGTTTGGCGACGTCTCTTCGGCCGTCTCTCTTTTTTCTGAAACACTCGTTTTTTTCAAGTTCAACGAAAATGTATTATCAGATTGAGGGAGACACCGTAGAAAGTTTTTCGTGCTCTTCGTGAGTTCTTCCTTCGCGACAGCGAAACGACGTTGTCAACTTTCGATGCGTCACGGATTTAAATCTATACAGCGTGATCATGCGACGCGCGATCGTGCCACGAATACGAATTAGCTATTGACGACGAACACAGAAGCGTTCTGTATGTTAGTTCTTGGCGTATGGATCAAGATTTTTAGTACTTAGATTATTTTGATGTTTTGCGAGAATGACTGTTACTTGGTCTCTCTACTTAAAGACGGTTTTCCAATAGATAGAAAAGAACTTTTTTCTACATAGTTGGTTAATCCATTGTTATATGTTAGCCATAAAATCTTCTGCAGATGCGACCCTGTGTTAGTTAATACCTGATTACTGGACGAAAGATTAACGGTTTTTACTGTTAGTATCAGTTAATCACTACGATAAAACTTAACACGTATCGAAGCATGTAATTTGCGCGACTTTATGTGAGACACTTTAGTCTCCGTATAATAATTCCACCCTAAACCGAAGAGATAACCGATAAACAGAGGAAGAGAGAGAGACAGAAAGAGAGAGAGAGAGAGAAAGAGAGAGAAAGAGAGAGAGAGAGAGAGAAGTTTACTAAGGGGATTTAGGGAAGAGGCAATCATTGATGGGGAGGAATAAGGGGTGGGACTACAAGAATACAAGTAGCCGAATTTGTATAATGACTTTTCCTAAAGGGAGAGAAAACTGAATAATAGGCGTAGTTTTAAACGACAAAATTTACGCGCGTTAAACATGTTTTGAATTTCTTTATACGAAGTGTCAAAAATATTTACTACTGATGTACCAGGCAACAATATCTTAATAAAATTTGTTTTTCAATTTTAAAAAGAGAGATTTAGAAAAAAATAACATCTGATTATAAGTAAAGATAAATGTTTGTCGCGCTAAAAGAGTGAATTTCTTTCGTGTTTTATAGAAGTTTTGAAGTATGTTCAAAGTATGTTCTGAAGAGACGGAAAAAGCAACGTGATGATAAGAATTCTTCTTCCGTCCCTTCACGACATTGCTTTTCTCCATGAAAGACTGATCCCCTTCGGGGTCAAATAAAATAGATTTAAATCTCGTTCGGTCTTCAGATCTAGAGAATACTTAGATCGCTTTTCCGCTGGTCTTTTTTATCCATTTTATATTTTCGCCCTTTGTCAAGTATAAAAAACGACGCGATAATTAAATTGAAGCTTCGTAGAAAATATATATTTTGAATATAAAATAACACGTAAAAATTTTTTTACAAAAAAATATATTGTCGTTAATTAAGTCGTATTTTATGTTGTGCCAGTCACGCTTTTATGAAACGTATTTAAAACGTTTCTTTTCGAAATAAATAGCGATAGAAAGTGAAAGAGAGAGAAAGAAAGAGAAAGAGAGAGAGAGAAAGAGAGAGAGAGAGAGAGAGAGAGAGATGTATATAATATTAGAGAGGTAATGCGGTTGGGGTGATTAAAATACAGAGTAAAGAATATATTGGCAATTTTGCGCTGCTTTGCCGACTATTATTGCATCATGCTGTTTTAATAATATCCATTATTGTTTCATTATTAATAATACGCACGTATTTGAACGTGGTAATGATGATATCCCGTAAGCTTATTTCGGGCCTTCATTATAATCGAGCTGCATTAGCATAATTACTCTTAACGATCGATCTTGTTGCGTTTAATGATGCAGATATTGTGCCTGCATGTACAATGCCAGTCAAAATATTACATCTCTATACGAGAGAATTCTCGCATGTTTTTTAAATAAATGTTCTCCCCTTTCCTCTATGTTTGATCGAAAATCCTTTCGATGTATTATTTTACGACACTCTGTACATACACGCACACATATGTTATATCTTGTATTTGTAAAACTTCTAAATGTAATAAAACCAAGAAAAAATATACATTTCAAAAATAAAAGCAATAAAAAGTGAAATTTCTCTCCCTCTCTCTCTCAAAAAATTTGCTTTAAGTTTAAAAATGTTTAATTCACACGAGCGGAGAGAAATTTGCGAGAGATTTGTTTAACGATTAAACGATCGGTACGTCGAAGAAAGAAATTATATGCGCTCTGCGCGCTTTCTCGGGAGAAGAAAGGTAAGGAAGGAAAAGGGGGTTGAGTACATCCCGCCTACGCGGCGCTTAATGACTCGGAGCGTGAAGTGCAGTCGGCCGCCGTAAATTATCCGTTCGGTCGAAGGCGAGTCTAAAACGCGGATCCAATAGACGAGCGGGAGTGAGCGACGAAGCGCAGCCGACATTACATTGGTCGGTTGCCAGAGAGCCGGGAGAGAGCCGGCAAGTTCATCCCGACATTAGTTACGTCAGCCGCGCTCCGCGGCACGGGGCGACGCGACGATGGTTCATCGGGATGAGGTAACCGACGTCTCGTTGACATGTGCATCGGCATACGTATAGCGGAACAGGCCAAATGGACCATTGGCAGCAAATAACTCGATTTGCTCTGTCTACTTGACTGAAAGACTAAAGAGTGGTGATAGCTGTGGTAGTGTTGGTGGTAGTGGTGGTGGTGGTGGTGGTGGTGCTAGTGGTGGTGGTGGTAGTAGTGGTGGTAGTGGTGGTAGCAGTAGTAGTAGTAGCAGTAGCATTGACGGTGGATAGGAGTTGCGCGGGACAGGAAGGATAGGGCGATGAGACAGAAACAGTAAAAGATGGGTAAGTAGAGAGGAAGGAACGCGGCGAAAGGAAGGAAGCGTGTTATCGAGACAGTAGAGTGCCACTGTAGTTGTGCAGAGATGCCCGAGCACACTAGAAAACCAGTCTGAGATCCAAGAGACTCAGTCAGCCAAACGAGCCATCTGACCAGCCAGCCAGCCAGCCAGCCAGCCAGCCAGCCAGCCAGTTCGTACCGACGAACGTATGTACGAGCAAGCGGGCGAGCGAACTAGCAAGTTCTTGTTTTATTCAGTCGGGATCATAAATTACGAATTTAAACACACAATGAAAGACGCTTAACAAGAAGCTAACGCGAGATTGAGAGGCCCCGCCCGGAACACTTCTCCTTCCGGTGGAACGCCACCAGTTGGACCAATCCGGTTGTGGTACCGCCCCCGAGTACTTAGCCAACCTACGAACGGTACGCCAATCCACTTGCGTCGAGGGTCGAGCTGCCTCTCCCTCTGATGCGCGGGTTCCGGAACGCGCGAGGGCAAGGACGCGAAAGCACGGGAGAGACTCGATCTCCCGGCGGAGAGTAGCGCGCGTCCCGATGCACCCTGGTTGCACACCACTTGGCGACACGGCTAGTCACTCGGCGGACAACTTTCTAGTTGTGCGCGTTCTGATATCGTCTGAATGCGCTTTGCTTGAAACAGATCGCGACGCACATCATACCTCATGTCATTGCGCAGAATATCGATGATTGCCTACGGTGTGCGGTGACTATTTTTCTAATCATCGAACGAGTGTCACTTGTCATACGGTGCGTTCACTGGGAATCGTAGAAATCGAAAAGTGATATTGACCAACCCAAACGAGAGAACTTGAAGAGTGCGCGTTTGTGTCAGGTGAGTGTCAGACGAGTCTTGTGTCGTTCGTTAGTTGAACATCATTGTTTGAGCAAAAACTCACAGTGCAAACCTATCTGTATATCCTCGTGACACATCATCGTTGTGAGACCGGCTCCTTTTGCCGGAAATACACGCGTCAGGAGACTCGCGGCTCCAAGCCGCATCCAGGACCAGTTAAGCACCGGCTAAGATTTTTCGTTCCCTACCGAACTATGCGTGGTGCGAAATGGTGTGTTCTCTGACCAGCGGCAAGCCCTGCGCCGACAGCGGAGACCCGTGTCCGGATCCGCCATCGCGATCCACGCCGGAGAGTGGCGGACTCGAAATCGCCGAGAATATGTCGTCGTCGCTTAGTGACGCGCATCGACGTAACAACAATCATCTGGATCAGGGTGATCGCAGTTCATCCGCGGGATCCTCGCTGGGTTCATGTTCACCGCCACCCGCCTCGAGCCACTCGCCACCGCCCCCGCGGCCACCTTGGCTGCATGATTTTCACGCAGCAGCCGCGCCCCACGTTCTGCAATTTCTTAATCTGAGCGCTGCCGGTGGTGGCATGCTCGGTAGCCAACCACTGGCAGCACTGCACTCCATGGCGGAAAGGAGTCACCAACAACAGCAGCAGCAGCAACAGCAACAACAACAACAACAGCAGCAGCAGCAGCAACAACAACAGCAGCAGCAGCAGCAGCAACAGCATCCGTCGCTTCAGCAGCAACAGGGTGGCATTCAATTGTCCCGCATTACCGTACCATCGCTTTCAACTATAACGCAAGGTCAATCGTCTCCTACCGGCAGTGGCAAACACAGTCCGGCAACCTCTATTACTTCCGTCGGCAGCAATCCCCACGGCATCGACACAATACTCTCGAGACCGACGGCAACGGTCCATCCTCAAGCGACGATCCCACCGTCGCACGCGGCTCTGCCAGCAACCTCACATCCTCAACACATGGCCGCGCCGCGGTATGCTATGCACGCCGGCTTCACGACGTCCTCGGGTGCGTACTTGTATCATGTCTCTTTTTAAATTAATTCCTTTTTTTAAATTAATAACTCACAAATTTATGAATCGCGAACATCAAGTTTAGTTCAGCATTCACGTAAACATTAAAGTTCAACGAGAAGAGACCAAAGTTTCATTCATTCACCAAAAGTAAATTAGAAATAAATATGTATCTCATCGCGAGATTAATGTTTCTTTAAAAATTTATTCATATTTTTCGATGTTATGTAATATAATATTTGTGAGGGAAACGATAATATAGCTTTTCGTATTCGCTTGTTTGTGCAATAGAAAATCGTTAGAAATTACTGGTTCTCCGTACGCAAATCGTCGCGTGCTGCGATAGCTGCGTGCGTGTAATGCGAGGCAGATTAAACGCATTAATCGTAGAATTACCAAGGGTGGTCGATCGAACAACCGCGAGCCAGACGAAAGCGCGACTAGGAGTTACGAATCTATTACGAAACTATCTGTGTATTCGATACGATCGGTCGGCGTATAATTCACGGATTTACATAGTCGCAGTCTGATTTTCCACTTTGATTCGCGCGAATCACTGTAACGCGCGCCGCGGTTTTAATCTATTCTGGTTCAACAAAGATACGTATCCCATCTATTTGGTTTATTTTGACGAGAACAAAATTTGCATAGAAACAAATGTGTATAGAAACTCGGAAAAATGTATAACTACACACGCATATATACAGAGAGTGTGGCAAGACAACGCAGTGATATAACAGAAAAAGAGGTGATTCTTTTGTGCAAAAATGAATTGAAAGTGTGGAATAAAATTGTCGTGTAAGAGGCTTAGTTTTTGAAGAAAAAAATTGATATTGAAAAATAAAATAAATTACAAACAGTTGAATTCTCGAGAAATCGAAAGTGAAACAAAAAAAAAACGCGATTTAATTCTGATTGAAGTATAATTGACTGGAAGCGTCATAGAAGCAAAACAAAGCGGCTTCAAAATTTATGCTTACCGAATTACCTGTATTCTCGGGTACATTAACGACCAACGTAAACGAGAGGCGTTGCTTAACATTCATGACATTAAATTTCTAAATGATTCGCTCCCGACAGAACGCGATTATGCGTAATAACGAATCGCTAAGCAAGGTGCGCTAATATATTCGCGATTTAATATGTTTCGCATATGAAATGTGATAATCAAATCATAGTGAGTGTTCGATGTTATCATGCGATAATATGGTATCTACATACATGATATACTGACTAGAGATAACGTTATAAATTTTCTGAAATTTTATAACTGTAAAAATTTAATTTATTTATTCACACTCTCTCTCTCTCTCTCTCTCTCTCGCAATTACTTTTGCACTTTTTTATGATTAAGAAAAACCAAGACGCAAAGTTACACCAAAACTAAATTATTGAAAAAAAAAACAAGATATATGTACCTTTTGAGGCGTATAGATTTTTCATAGACTTCTCAGAATCACGTTACACAATTTATACTAAATATATTTACAAATACAAGTATTTATGGAGATCAGATGACTATATTACTGTCTGTTTTATCCGAAATAGAGCAATGTTTGTTGGAATCGAATATCGCGGGGCGGTATATTTATCCTGTGAAAGCAGATATTCACATCATTTCAGAAAAAAAGGAAAACTCCCTAACACCATGTGTCTCCTCACGTGTATCTTTTTCATTTTTATTGCCTGTAATAGAAACCTCAGAAATATTGTGTGACATCTGCTCTGGTGTTCGTATTATAAATTACGATCCTTACGACTTTTCTGTAGACATGTCTAGCAAAATTTTAAATCTTTTTTTTTTTTAAATCTTCTTTCGTATTCTCTTAAAACGTGTAGATGAACGCTTTGCAACGTTTCGGAATTTTCTTGATTCACTTTTTAATTCGTCTTCAGATATATATGTCAAAAGAGTGTTCGTGTTTTTAAGTTATCGTGAAATTGTGTTGTTTACGCAATCGATTGTAAGGAAATAGTGCGTCTATATGCACACACACACACATATATATATACATATATATATTCGGTGGCCATCTATAATTCTAACTAAACAATAGAATTTGCGCGCCACCATCGCGATGCATCGTAAATACGCGCTATGCTACTATCATATTTGTGATGCATGCGTGAGTGCGTACATACATATATGAATATATACGTATAATCGATGTAATCTGACTAATACGACAATGAAGTCAGTTAAATCGTTATTGAATGTACGTGTGTATATTATACACATATATAGGTATTATTATTCCACAGCTACAAGTACATTTGCACATTCGTCAAAACACATCGTTGGCATTTTATTCATACATCAATAAAACGCAGCCGATTTTGAATGATTCTTCATCTGCTTTTTTTTATTCGTTCTTTTTAATTACGTGAAATAAACTTCTTTAGGAAATAAATTAGTTTGTGATTATAAATATGGTGACTGTGTGACAAAAAGCATCCATTAATTATCTTTTTTTTTTTTTTGTAGTGAAACAATTATCGTACCGTTTAATATGTGTGTAAACAAAATATAATTTATATTGTTGCGCATAGACTTTGCATCATGCTGAACGCTATAACCTCTTGATACAATATTCTTCTTTTTTACATTGTGCCGCCACATACTCTGTTGTCATCGTAGCGCGATTATGCAATTTGTTACGCGCACCGCTAATTGACATCTGATATCGATCGATCTCTCGCGTGTGCACTCTTTACACCGATGGTCATTAATTAAATTCTCGCCAGACGCTGAGAATACCGCTGTATAAGTGACAAAAAGCCTATCAAAATGTGCGTTAAATATTCCCGCATCTCGTACTCTTATGACGTCATATATATCTTATAATTCTCCGCAATTTATCGCTTGTTTTGTTTTCTTTATTGTTGTCTTAATTACACATACGATTATTTTGAGATGCGTATCTTGCAAATATTTTGATTGGATTAAACAATGTTGATGCACAATATATTTAAATAGAAATAAAAAGATAGAGAAATAACTTTCTTTCTTTAAGTTTCTTGATGTCAATAGAGTCTTGTTGGTATATGTTTGACAATGAGTAATTAAATTAAACAAGGGACACTAATCCATTTGAAAAGTTTCCTCCGAACACACAAAGATTAATTACGTCGAGTTGAAACAACTGTAATTAAGATTAAAAGTACGAGAGTTTACGAGATATGATGTATGTATGTAATATTATGTTTCGTAAACGCTCTCTTTTAATTGGCCACTTTATGACATTCACGAACGATATGTCGTAAAAGCATGTGCTGCGGAGGTCTATTTAAAAATCGAAAAGAACTCTCGCACCTTTCCTCTATGTACTGTGTTTCGTCAGGCCCCATCACGTGGGACACAAACAACATGATTGAGGGGATATTTTGGTTGATGAGTGTGCGCGGGTTTAGCCGTTTATGATCCCATAAATTCCGTCTTATTTCGGCGTAACGGACAAAAGGAGCAGCTATCGGACTGGTCGTATCGCACGTATTCTTCCATTCTCGTTTCTGTAGTAAAATGGAAATGATACTTTATTGTCCGAATGGACAAGTGTAGGTAGGCAACGGAAACCGCGCGCGCACCCGAAATGAATTAAACACTCGTGAGAGTCAGCGTTTTCAATCGTGATTATAATTAATTTCTGAATGTCGACATGTGATTTGTATTTTCTTTAAGAAGTTTCTATTACAAATCTACCGAATTATTATAAGAAAGTACAATACATATTTGAGCTAGATCTTCATTAGTTAAACACGAACGTGTATATACTTTTTGAAATTACACTTTACATACTAATAAATATATATATTCGGTCATGAGAGCCGTTCGCTAGGTGTTGTGCGGAAATTATACGTGTATATATTGTAAGAATATTAAGATAATCACGCAAGTAAATTTATAGAAAGGTTAAGACATGCGGCGATAACAGGATCACGATCACTCGAGATGGTGAACAGTTAATGTTCACGTGTCTACCGAATATTCAAGCGTGGTATCAGCCTTAGCCTTGGATGATACCAAGGTTACCTGTTAGCCTCGATTGCGAGACGGGCCGCACTTGTCCGCGGCAGTACCGAAACCATACAGCTGTGCTAGATCGTTACCTGTATTCTTGATAATTAAAAGTGAAATTTACAAATTGAGATCTTACAGTTTCTGTTCATTTATATATCCTGCAGAATATCCATCACAAATTGGTCTATCTTTTTGAAAGATCTTACAATATATACATATATACGTGTTCACGTGTAAATTTTTACACGTGAAATTCGAATTGTAATAACAATTCTAAAATGCATATAGGATGCTATACTTGCATCTCGTATATGAGAGATCCCAAATACACCCCTAATTGAAATTAAATTTATATTGCGAAAAAAACTCCTCGGCCAGGAGTCGAACCTGGAATCTCCGGCTTTCCGTGCCGTCGCCTTTCCTATATTCGGCAACCGAGGCACTTGGAGTTTTTCTCGCAATATTCATACATATATATTCGAACAACGCCATCTTCCTCCAGCGTGATTTAAACAATTAAATAGGAAAGGCGACGGCACGGAAAGCCGGAGATTCCAGGTTCGACTCCTGGCCGAGGAGTTTTTTTTCGCAATATAAATTTAATTTCAATTAGGGGGGTATTTGGGATCTCTCATATACGAGATGCAAGTATAGCATCCTATA